TATTCTAGAACTTATTTCTCCAAACTGACTCTTTACGACAATCTATTATCTCTTTCTTTGTAAAGAAGGACACAATCTGAGAATTTTACCCATATAGGTTGAATGACACTAGTAAATGTAAACTTGTTTAGGCAACGCTGTATGTTCTAATTTGAAAATGCTTGTAGATTTGCACAGTTTATTTGGAATACAAAATGTATTGGTATGTAAGAATAGCTCAATAAATAATGGGAGACTTTCCAATGGTATTATTGAAGTGCAGCATAATTGATTTTTACTGCTATTGGTAATTCTGTATTCTGATATAAATAATTTCATTCATTAAAACCAATAGCGTGCATTTCAAACCAACATTAATTATTGTAGTCTAACAAAAGGGCACAATATGTGCAACAAATAGGCAGAGAAGGAATAAGTGCTTGTCATACCCATCTATAAAACTAAGTATCTGTCATACACATGTATAAAACTACTTAGAAAACTTCTGAGGCTTCCAAGGGAACAGTCTTTGATCTAGATGTACTCTATGAGGTAGGCAAAAGCCCTGCTCCTTACAACAACATCATAGCAAGTTATCACATCAGGGTCTGGGGATTTAGCTCAGCAGCAAAAGCGCCTGACTGGCAAGCGCAAGGTCGTGAGTTCGGTTCCCGGTACCGGAGAAAAACCAAAAAAAAAAAAAAAAAAAAGTAACCAAGTTATCACATCACGTCCATTCAAATTTTTTTGCATTAAAATTGCAGAATTGGGTTCAATTTTGGTAAAGTAAAAGATGATATCACATGTAAGAACAGAATCTCTCTTCCCTCCTTTGATTAAAGCATGACAAGCAGATAATAGGACATTTTGAATTCATATCAGGTAGGTGGCTAAAACTACAAAATTCACACAGAAGGACTGAATGAGAAACAGATTGAAAAAATCAGCTTAAAAAATGACATGTTTAAAAAATACACAGGTGCAGGGAGAATGTAAATGAGAATGGTCAATGAGTTGTTTCCCAACAATGTTGAATAGCTTTGACCTGTTTACACACTCTTTGTTCATGTAGTAGGAATAACACTACAGTACGATTGTAGTAGGAATGAGTGACATTAAAGGAGTCACAAAAACACATTTGAAGAAGTCATCTGAAATTTACATTGTTGCAGAATAGTGTTTGACTTGATTCTCCAAGTCTACAAGCATTGGGTCTTAAAGTGACCAATGTGTCACAGCATCCCTTCCTCTGCTGTCACCTGGTGACACACTTACCCAGGCCTTCTAGATATCATAAAAAGCAACATGAAGGCAAGAGAAAAGGTCATGTTTTCACTCCCAGATTAATGTAGTTTATTAGGAAAAAGTACCATATGTACTAATGGTAGTAGCAATCAACTATATTTAGTACATTGGTGCAAAAGTTTGTGTTTATAGAAAATTATCCTGTACTTTTTAGACATTCATGTACTTATTTAAATGGAAAATTTAGTTAAGGGAAATATTAAAAGTTACTATACTGAGTGGATGCATCATTAAATAGTTTATCAACAAGATCCAAATATTTCAAGTTTATCCTTTGAGAAATAGCAGTAAATTATACTGATTACTGGCCTTAAAAACCAAAGCTAAAATGATAAAGATGTTAAAATTATTAATTGGGATGTTTTTAAATATAAGTTAACAAGTACTATTTGCAAAATGATAGTTTGTAGATAACAGAATTGTTTTCTCTTTGGGATCTAGCTCCACTTGAGGAAAACTTTTGTTGTGCTTTGTTTCCAATTCTCTTCTTAAAATCAGATATTCTGGCATGCAAGAGATAGTAATGTGTCATCTGACCTTTAAACTTCTGTTTCATTAATGAAACCACAAGCAGCAGCAGAGTCACTGGCTGGCATGTTTGCACTGCTAGGCCTTTAGCACCTAAAGTTATTTGATGACTGTTATGCCTTTATTGGCTTTTCTTAGGCATTTTGAGGAATATGTTACAACAACAACAGAACAATAGAATATATTGTGTAGGGCTTGATAAATAGCATTTAATTTGGCTAAGTGTTCTCTGATGCACCTGGTTCATGTCTGTGTGTTGAAGAGAAGGTTGTGGAGGTTCCAGGATAGATTTCTGTTTTGTTTTCCATTAAAGTAGAAAATAACATCAGCTATGATTTTAACTATATAAGTAAAAAAATAAATACATGACTTTACTCTTGCTGAGAAATGTGTCAACTGGATTTTTACATTCTGTGAATCTCTAAGCCTTACCTGTATGAATCTAGGAACAAAGCAAACAGGAGGAGCAGAAGATGTCAAGAAAAATCACCGATACTACTAAACATTTTCAGTGGAGGGAGAATTTCTTGTAAAAATGATAAATTACATTTAAAGCTATGGGAAATTTAAAAGTTCAACAGTTGGGTAGTTCCTAAAGAATGATAAAATGAATAGAAGAAAGCCATTTGGAGTAAAAAGTAATGCAAATAAAATTTCTGTTTCATATATGACAAAAATGATTTTTATTAAAAATCTAGAGGGGCTGGGGATTTAGCTCAGCGGCAAAGTGCCTGCCTGGCAAGCACAAGGTCGTGAGTTCGGTTCCCGGTACCGGAGAAAAACAAAAAAAAAAAAACAAAACAAATAAAAATCTAGAAAAAAAAACCCATTGGTTAAAAGCATCATTGGGAAGAGAGAGAGATTCTATTCTCTTTTAGAAGTTTCAAAATTCAAAAGTCACTTAAATTAAGATCTTAAAGAACTCTGGATATGGCAAAGTAAAGGAGAATGAACAGTACCTAGAAAGTAAACAAGGGCTGCACCAAACCAACAACACCAAGACGATACTGGCTCCATAGATTTGGAAAATATCACTTTCCTAATGAAAGCAAAGATTGAATTATATGTATGTCTCCTGGAAACAGAAGGTGTGTGCCGCTATTTTAATTAGCCATAGAGTGTTTACTACAGTGTTCACTGGGTCGCAAAATGCCATGACATGTCATGAAAAGATCAGCAATCTACCAAATCCTTTCCATTGAAAATGATTCTGCTCACTTCACCTAAGTAATGCTCCAGTACAAACATTATATAGCAGATTCCGTGATATGGAAGGTAGTATTTTGTCATTAACACTGTTATCTAAACTTCTAACAGAAACTTTAATATAAAGAGTAAACATAGGTTTAATTTACATCTGCTATGGGACAAAATGCACATTGCTACTACCAACAATGAAAAGTTATTTTACTATGTTATCACAAAAACATGCTACTTTTGTATCACAAGTGTTTTCATAACAAAGGAAACATTGTTTAAAACCTACAGTATTACTGTGCATTTGAGATTGTAGTAGTGTTCAATGCCAATTTGGTCTCATAAGCATGTTTCCAAATGTACCACATTCACATGATGAAATTTAAAATATTGCATGATTCAAGCACAGACATAATCCAGGCTCTTTCACTTCAGGTATACCATGTACACTCACTTCCTGCAGTCTACACTTACAAGTCAACTACCACCCTGTGGAGAGAAAGCAGATCTTTCCGGAAGACTGGAGGTGTAAGGCAGGTGGGGGTGTCAGAGCAGAAGTAGGGGCAGCAAAAAATGAAGGCATAAGACTGTTAGGTTTGTTCAGAGCTGAGTACTGCTGATCATCAATTTGTATTTTCCTAGGAGAGGAAATGTTTCTAGAAGCTCACTGTGCAGTTGCTTAGGGGTAAAGCCAGGCTGGGAGGTTCTTTAATGAGCAAACATTTCTGTGTTCAAGCTTGGAGAAAGAAGGGAAAACAGGAGGAGGGTTGGAAAGAAGTAAAACAGAAAACAGGAAGGAAGGGAAGGAAGGAGGGAAGGAAGGAAGGAAGGAAGGAAGGAAGGAAGGAAGGAAGGAAGGAAGGAAGGAAGGAAGGAAGGGTTTGCAGGAACAACAGCGAGGGGAGGAGAAGCAGTGGAAGAGGGAGAGAGAGAGGGTGAGGGAGCCGGGAAGAGAGAGAGAGACAGACAGACAGACAGAGACAGAGACACACACAGAGAGAGAGGGAGGGAGAGAGAGAGGGAGAAAGAGAGCGGGAGGGAGGGAGGCTCGGTGTGTACACACGTGTGAGTGGCAGCGGCAGCGGCAGCGGCAGCGGCAGCGTGTGGAGCAGAGGAGTGCATGCCTTTTAAACTGACAGAATCTGAACGCGAAAGCGGTCCTCGGCGCATGGAAGGAAGTGCCTGTGTGTGCACGCGGGTGTGCGAGACGCCTGAGGGAGTGTGTTTATAAAAATGAGGCTCACGAGCGTGAGAGAACAGTGCGGAGGGGATCGGGAACACGCCTGTGGGTGTGACCCAGATGGGGCAGAGCGCGGGGACAGGGACGAGGCAGATGGGAGTCAGGGAGAGGAGGACGAGGCACAGAAAAGGGACATGCAGGAGGGTGAAGAACCGGGACAGGGAAACGTGAAGAAAGGCGCAAAGGGAGTCAAATAAGTGGATCGGGAATGAGAGCGGTGGGGATTAAAAGGAGGAGGAAATAAAAGAAAAAAAACAGTAAAAATAGCAAAGATGACATGCAATGGAGGGAAAAGAGCAGAGGGAGAGAGAAAAAGAAAACAGAGTAAGAAGAAGGGAGAGAGGAGGGAGGAAGCGCTGAAAGCAAAGAAATTGAGCAGAGTGTCCAGGCCAGAGGGAAAATAAACGGAGCAGTTGGCAAAAGTCGCTGTGCTCCGGTAGCACAGAGAGGCATCTGATAAACTTGTCAGACTCTCTCGGAGCAGCCCTGACGGTGAAGCACACGCCGTGGGCACCGAGTTTGCAAGGCGCACCTGCCCCTCCTGCCCGGCCCACGCTGCACTCTTCCCGGGCTCCGGAGCGCTGGGGTCCGGGGCGAATCGGCACCCCGCTGCCTGGACAGGGGTCTCTCGGTCGCGAGCACTGCCCGGCTCTAAGGAAGCCAGAGAGGGTGGTCAAGAGCGAGACAGACAGACACACAGAGACAGACGGACGCACGGAGACAAGCAGGACAGGCACGCCGTTCTTCCTACCTAAGCACCGCCGTGTCCCCTTTTCTGACCATCAGGTTGTCCACGGACGCCCAGGGGAAGTCCACGCTCTGTCCGGCCGGGAGGCACGAGGGCAGCAGGCAGCACAGGCTGAGCAGCACCGCCGCCAGCCACTGGTTCGAGCAACAAGCGCCCTGGACCAAGAGCATCATGTCCATCCTGCTCGGCGCTCTCCGCAGCTCTCGGCTCGGCGCCCCCGCCCCCCGGAGCGGGCGAGTCTTCCCGGGAGCAGGCGGCGCGCCACAGGGTTTTTTTTTTTTTTTTTTTTTGAGTGGGTGGGTGGGTTTCTTTTCTTTCTTTCTTCCCCCTCCTACTTGTTGGGTGTTGTTTCTCTCTTATTTTTCCCTCCTCCTCCTCCTCCTCCTCCTCCTCCTCCTGGCTTTCCCTCCCTCCCTCCCCTCCCACCCCTTGGCACCGCGCTGCACCTCCTCCGGCTGGCTGCGGGGCCGCGTCGCGAGTGTGCGCGTCTACGGCTCGGGCGGCTCGCACCCCATCTAGCGAGCGGGCGAGCAGGCGAGGAGCGCGCCGCCGGCGGCAGAGGGCGGAGCGCGGTGCGATC